GCCGCTCCGCCCCCCGGCCGCTCCACGCGCATGCGCAAACTACCCTCCTTGCGTCCGGTTCGCCCTCCCGGCCCCGCCCCCGACATCTGGCACGCCCCCTCGGTCCCGCCCCTGCGACCTTTTCCCCCACAGGCTGAGTCCCTTGATCTTGGCCTGAGGGTTGTCATGGCTAAAAGGTGGTTTCCCAGGCTGTGCTGTAGTGGAATCCAACGTGTTCTGAAAGACCCACAATCGCCAGGCTGCACTCTTTAGGCTAAACCTTCGGGTCATTTTGTTAAGCAAGCTGCGAAAGTGACCTAACATGTTTTGCTTAATTTCAGCTGCAAAGTGTGGCAGCCTAGTGTGGAACACTGCTTGATCCTGAGGTCCCTTAAACCTGACTGGTAGACCTCAACTATGTGTTCTTTCTGTTGCTCAGCAGCAGGGTAGGGGATAGCAAAGGAGAACAGAGTCCCTGCAGCCTGCAGGTGGCCCTTCCTGAAGACACCAGTCCTGAGCAGGCTTAGTGTCTCAACAAAGAGACGTCCAAACTCTGAACACCAACTTAGAAAAATTCCACTACCTGTCAATTCTCAGATCTCCACCAGGAAGACACACTGGGAAAAATGTGCTGCTGAGCACATATACCTATTGCCACACACGTTCTGCTGTTGTTGTATGGTGCCCGGGCATCCTAAATGTCAACTCTGCTCAGCTTTTTGCCAAAGAAGGAAGCAAGAGCCAAGTGAATTCTCTACTAACTCTCCTGTAGGAATTAGTTTGAGGGCACCTTTTATTGTGTCTTTAACAAGTGCCATGTGAGAAATTCTTGACAGGACAAGGAAGAATTCTTTGCTGTCTTTCCTCTTTTCTAATAATGTTCACTGCAACTGCTACGCGTTGAGATTTTTACTGTTACGGTTTCTTTCAAATTTGGTTTTGAGGTCTCTCCCTTGAGGTGGAGGGGAAGTCTGGAGGTGATCGGGATGTAAACCAGCAGAGGAGGACAAAAAGAAATGGGGAGAGGACCAGTGGGGCTAAAGCCTTTAGTGGGGTTCAGGGCATTACCCAGGAAGTTTCCCTTGGGGAGTTCTAATTAGAAGTCAAATGTTAATTGGAAACAGTTTCATGGAATCGCTTCATGTCTGCCTGGTGGTTATTGTGGTATATTGTGTGGAGTTCCTGGAAAGAGTCCAGTAGATATATCTACCTGTCTGTCACCAGAGGGCAATTGTTTAAGACTGTTATGGCTTGTATCTAGTTGTCCCCTCAAAGCCTCATGCACTCATAGGTGGGGCTTTTCAGAGGTGGTTTGATCTAGGATGTATGAATATGGATTAAGTGTATGTAGTACTAAATTAGTCCACTGATTGGTTTATAATAGTTCTGCGTGTCAATAATGGAAAAGCCCACCCTAGGTGTGGGTGGCATCAACCAATAGGCTTGTAGCCTAAATAAGGAAAAAGTGAAAGAAAGCCTCATTGCTTTTGTCTGCCCTGCCATGGACTGTTTCTCCTCTCGTGCCCTTCTCCCATGCTGCCCAAACTTGGAGCTAGCTGACTATAGACCAAAATCTCCACAAATTGAACTAAAATAAACCTTTTCTTCTTCAGTGTCAAATATTTTGTTCCAGCAATGAGAAAGTAAATAAGATAAAGACAAATATCCAGACCCATCACACTAAAGCAATGGGAGGAGGCAGAGAACTAGAAATTGTGTCAGGAGTGACTGATTCTTCTTCTGGTCTAAGAGAGTTGAGTTAAACATATTCCAAATGGATGCCAAGGCTATATAAAATCATAAGTATTTGCTATACTAGGAAGGGCTGGGGATTTGGCTCAGTGGTTCCACTGCCTGCTTTGCTATACTAGGAAACTAAAGATGAAAAGATAATGTCTTACTACATTGCCCATGCTGGATCCCAAGTCCAATTCTCCTTCCTTAGTCTCCTAACAAGCTGGAATTAATGGTCATGCATTGTCAACATCCAGTGGAGACTCAAAATTTTATTTACAAATCAACCATTACAGTTATTGTAGTTGTTTCATTACAGTACTGTGCACTTGTGTTGGTCTCTAATTGTTTTGATCATATATCACATTTGATCCATATTTTGATTACTATTATATTGGCTTAGCAATGGATTGTGAGCTTAAAGAAAGAAGTTATAGAGAGCACTTGACGCACCTATTTAAAATAAAATAGCACTCTTCTGGTCATGGTGGCACATAAGTAATACAAGCACCAAGGAATGCTGAGGACAGAGTTCAAGTCCCACCTGGATGACTCAGTGAAACCCTGACTAAAAATAAAAAATAAAAAGACTGGTAATGTAGCTCAGTCCAGAGGCTCTGGATTCAATCCTCAGCGATACAAAAATTTAAAAACCTCAGATAATACTTGTAATTGATTAGGGCAACTACAGAATAGTAATCATAAACTGCTTGGGTTATACAAGGAAAAAAGATAGCAATGACTACCTACAGCCTGATAGAAAAATACAACATAGTGACACTATCCTGACATTTGTGACTTTTATTTGTATTTGGAACAGTCATGTTGATATCCCAGGTCTGTGACTGTCTTACTTTTCTTGTTGCTGGAACAAAATGCCCAGCACCCAAAGTTAAAGGAGGAAAGGTTTATTTGGCACACCATTTGTAGGGATTTCAGTCCAGAATAAACTGGCTTCAAGGCAGGGTGGAGTAACAGAGGGGCATGGCAGAGGAGAAACAGTCCACAGCAAGGCAGGCTGAAAGCAGCCAGCAGCAGCAGCAAGCCTGCCTTCTCTTTCTCCGCTTACTAGTCCACCCAAGATATAGGCCTGTTGATTGGTGCTGCCCACACTCAGGGTGGCGCTTCTGTTATCCACACCCTGAATTATGCTAAACCAATCAATGGACTAATTTAGTGCCACACATCTTTAATCTCAGTATCATATGCCCTAGATTCAGCCAGCTCCTATGAGCATATGAGGCCTTGGGTGACCATCTAGATACAATGCAAGCAATAAGAGTGACAATTTTTTTTTTTTTTTTTTTTTTTTTTGGTGCTGGGAATTGAACCCTGGGCCTTGTGCATATTAAGCACACATTCGACCAGTGAAATACACTCCATCCCCAAAAGTTGGTTCTTAAAAGTTAGTGCAAGTGCAGACAACATCACAACCATTTACAACAAATCGAGAATTGTCAAATATCAGGGATTTTAAAAATTCTAACTCAGACAGACATGTTTTGAATCAGGTATAGAATTGCATTACTTTGAGACACCGCAGAGTTAAATACTTCATGCTTCCACTTATTCATCCATGGAATAGCTAATATGTCTCTTGCACCTCACAAATTCTTTCCCTTCAGCTTCTTCAGTTATACAGATAAGGACAATTATGCCCACCTTATTGGGTTGATGTAGTCCGTATGTAACACAATTGGGACCAGGAAGTGAGTACATGGTAGATAACATTAGCTGACTTGTGCCAACTTCCTTTTGAGCCTCTTATGGTCATTCGGACGTCTTGTTTTATTTCATGTCCAGAAAGTTCAGAAGTTGGCATTGTCATACTGATTTTCATACATGAGGTTAAATTACTTACCAAAGCCGGCAACAAGGAAGCCATGGGACTGGAATTCAAATCCCAGTGTATCTGACCAAAGCACTTGTTTTTAATCACTGTTTTTTGCACAGCCTTGCAATGAATGTTAGGCATTCTATAAAATGTAATTCCCTCTAGTTCTTTTCTACTTTTTCATTAAAGATTAACGAGTGTGAAACAGGAACAATATGTTCTAAGTGTTGAAATGGAAAAGCCAAGGTATTTAGAGAATGACACCCCGTAATCTCCTGACATAAATTGAAGTTGTGACTGTCTCCTCAAAGAATATGGACCTTTGCCACCATCCAGCTCTTAAGTAACAGACCAGCCACTCCCGCAACCTTCTTCTAGTGCTCACTTCAAGGTAATATTAAAGGCGTATGTCACTTAAAGTATTAGTCACTTTTCCTGTGACTGAGACACAATACCCCAAACCCACAAGTTAAAGGAGGAAAGGTTTATTTGGCTCACAGTCTGTAGAGGTTTCAGTCCATAATTGCCTGGCTTCAAGGGTGGCATGGCAGAGGGGGCTGGCCAAGACAGGGTAAGCAGGAAGCAGCATCTAGGGAGGAGTCAGGAAGAGACACAAACCCATCTAGGCTGAGGCCCATGACCCACCTCTTCCAACTAGAGCTCACCTCTTAACATCAAGCTAACTATCCATCCCCATAGTCCAATCACCTCACAAAGGTCGCAGCTATGATGACATGCTACTCTTGGGGGACATAGAATGTAAACTGTATCAGTGTGCAACAGAACATTGCCAGTGGTGAACTCCTGGGAACAGCTAACACCAAACATTCATCCTGAACACATGGTGCAAGATCCCTGCCAGAACATCAGGTCATTGTAAGATGCAGCCATTACCAATATGCTACCAAGCACAATCAGAGACATAAGCAGCTCAACAAACACAAGGGAGAGAAGAAAAGAGAACTCTGGACTTCTTAAAAACGGAAGAATATTTTGAATATTCTGCCTGAAACAATCAAAGAGAAAGTAGTATATTATTACAAAACTAGGCCGCTATACTAAAGACACACATGAACAGGAGACTTAAAGAAGGAGAGACTGTTAACAATCCAGGAATAGTCTTGGATGTAGGGCTTCTGTCTCTGGGTCTTAGGTAGCTGCTCTCTGCTACCATCAAGCTGGGGAAAATGTCTGTAAAAGCACTCTGGGAAGCTGAGGCAAGAGGATCCCAAATTGTAGTCCAGCTTGGACAATCAACTGACTTAGTTTGATCTTGTCTCAAAAAAAAAAAAAAAAAAACTTAAAAAAGGCTAAGTATATAGTGCAGTGAGAAGGCCCTGAGTTCAATTTCCTGTACAGTGAGTCCCTGATTTACTAACATTCAAGTCCCCAGCTTTCACAGGTATGAACAGACCTTGCATTAGGAACATTACTAGTTGCAAACCAATCACAGACATAGCTTATATACCTGCCCAATATTTGCACAGTTATGCTGTGTACTTACTGTACAGTGCAACAGTGTACAGTAGAACAGTGCTCAATTAGAGCCCAGGATGTCCAGAAGCAAGAGGAAAAGCAGTAGTGATGTGCAGGGGACTGCTAGTGCAAACCAGTAACCAT